GGGGGGGGGTGTCGATTTCGTTCCAGGAATAAATATAGAATCAGTGAAAGTGGAAGAACGAACAAAATTGGGATCTAATTAGACATCAGATTATTTATTGGACTGTAAATTCATTTTGTTCACACTTCTCCGAAATAAACAGCTCCAACCGGAAAGAAAACGTCATTCAAATGACTGCATTACTTTTCTCGACGTGAACATAGTTCATAAACAATGTTGGGTAAATATTCAGTAAATTGACAGCAACCTGTTTGGCCTCAGTCCCAGGTCTAAATTTCGACTCCCTGGGATTCACGTCGGTTATGCCTTTGTTTATTCCACTGTGTGCTGGTTCGCAGAAATTACCATGTAAGAGTTGATTCTCTATTTCACCGCTCTTTGCGTTACCCAAGGCCAACGACATGGACGTGGTGGTGTGTCTGGTGCCATGACAATACATGCTGATACGCTTATAGACACTGCACAACAGAAAGACAAGTGTCACCACGGGAGGGGACAGCGGCAAGGAATCAAGCCATTCCCTCCAGCCTGCCCACAACCTCCATATTACCTCCACCGTTCTTTTGCGGCAATTAATTAAAATATTAAAAATTTCAAATGGTTAATAATTGACGTGGAAGTTAGTATACAGAGGAAGGGGATCCGTTCCATCACTAATTTTCTCTCCTCTTGACTCTCTTGTTGATGAGGCGGGTGATTTCTCCTAACTGTTGTAAGTTTTACACTCAACCTGTTATCAAAATCCGTGTTACATTTAAATAAGAACTCGCTTAGATATCCATGATAATGCGCCTCTCGTGTACCATACTTCTTCAGGTTTGATTTTGAATCCCTGAAGCTCCTCTCGATATGCTGTGTGTGAGCTCTATCTCTAGGGTTTACAAACTGCAGCTTGTGCTGAACATTCGAATGCGTGTGTCCTTGTTTGTTTAGACCTTGGTATGACCTCCGTTGATCCGAGACGATCGTTGTACCGGGGAGAATTCACTTCTTGATGGTTTCAAAAAGTATGGCATTAGTCCTGTGCATCACCACTGTCAGGCAGAGTATTCGTGTACCTCTCTGAAAGGCTTCGAACACCCATCTTCCATCGATTATTCTGCCTCGATTATATTCCCTGTGCCCAATCTTAGTCTCACCGATTTAACTGATTGTTCCTAGACCAGCAAGTCTGCTGCTGTGGTCTTCACACTAGTCGATCATGTCACTGATCCTATCATAGTTCGATCACGACATAATGAAACTTTATCACTGTGGCTAATCTCTTTCAACTTGAGACCCCCACCAGCGTTTGGCTATTCATTATCGTTATTGTTTGGGTGATTATCGATGGTATTTACGGTCAATTCTGCCTGGGCGATACGTATACGCCTCTTGCATAGCGCTTGAAGTGCCATCCCACGTACGGGATATTGGGGCAATATGGATACATAAGGTAAAACCGACACCCATTAAAAATTATTTCACCATTAAATTTTACCTTTTTTCTATATTTAAATAAACATAAATAGAGAAGTTGAATAGTGGGTAATTAATGGACTCCAAAAATAAGAAAGCTTGTTTGTGTTTAGTAAACGGTTGGCGAGGCTACGACTCCCACGTAAATCATTAAAATTTTGACCATGAGGCGTCATTCGTGGTCTATTTCGGAGCTATGCAAGAGGTGTATATCGTCTGGTGTGAACCTACTAAATATTTACCAAATGCAAAATTTCGGTATTCTGTACTCTGCTTCATTCAATTTACCGCATAATGAATAATTCGACAAAGTCCGAAAGACACAACGCTCTGAGATCGGCCGACAGAGAAACAAACATTCTCTTTGTTTTCGCTGTCATCACGTTCATTTTGTAAACTCTTTGCAGTCGTGTGTATATCGCATGTAGCCAATGAACAGATTTTCCTTCCTTTTTCTGCAATGTATATCACCTAATGGAGCTCTCTCTCACTCTCACTCTCATTCTCACTCTCACTATATTTTCATGCAGTCAATTGCGTAAAGTATTCTGTACAAATAAACTTAATTTGATATTTTCCGATCTTTTGAATTGATAATTTAGAAAATGCGTTCAAGTAAACTTGGATAGATACGGAAAAGATCCACTGGCTTTATAATTAAATGGTTCTGTGCAATGGTTAATGTATATATAGGATTAATAAAAGAAAACGTAAGCCTGTTCCACATCTCCTTTATGTTTTATGGCACGTTTAATTTCTTTTTCCCACTTCTGTTCCAAAGTTTTTCTTATTTTGAACACTTTTAAAGACCTTATCCGTTATACAATTATCCTTTTTCCCGTTTTATTTTTTTTTATCACCCACCTATACGTAAAACACAGGAATAAGGCCTGGCTGTGACCTGACAGAGCTCGATACTTCATGGAACTTGAAGCCGCCTTATCGAAAATCAGGCACCAAACGAATACCTTCGCCAGGACATCATATAACACAAGCAATAAAACGCCAAAATCTTCCACCATTAGATCTACATACCAATAGTTACATACCGAAAGACACAAACATGCTACCTCCGACAGTAACTATTCATAAAGGCCGTGAGTATCTCTTAGTCATGAATAATAGATAACAAACTGATACTAATAACTTATAAATTATGAATCGCAGAAATTAATTATCAAGAAGTTGTGGACTTAGCTGCAGTGAACGAATTACTTAAAAATGAGAACGAGCCACCTGTCATGTTTGCCATCAACCGCAATCTTTATGCTTATGCAAAGATGACGAATTGTGAGTTTCTTTCATAAATTTTCATTTATTTTATTTTTACTTATTTTAGGGAGGTGACGTACATAACCCTCAAGCCTTTGGACGTCTTTTTGATTTCCAATATGGGTGAATTTCACATTTAAATTAATTATGCAATATTGTATTTCACTTGATCAGTTCTCATATGCGATCAATACATTTTACTCAAATGTGTATGACAATAACACAGCGGAATTGCTATGATCTCCGATATTAGTAATTTCTGAAATGAAGATCCTTGTTGCATAAAAATGGTCTCTAATTAATCGGTCTATCTTGTTTTCGTGGAAATTTCTCAGATTATGTATGTAGAAATGTTGAGTGGCGGAGTGACTGTCCGTTTACGGTGCATGGCTGGACGCTGGATTTCGTATTTGGGGCGCGTTACCAAAAACATTCCATTAGCCACATATACGCTATACGACTATCTGTTGTAAACGGTTTGGGCGACAGCGCTCAAATTAGATTTCTACTGGGGATGGTGAAGAGTCAACCGAAGTCTTGATGACAAAAATTATACCGATTTCAAATTTAGTCGTTAGTCAATGAATATCGATCATATAGGATGATACATCAGTTTTTCTACCCTTTTTTCCTGAAATGTTCAATTCAATGACATGGATAATCGTATTGTCATTGTGGACATAGTTGAGATGAAAATCGGATGGCGCATCGGATGTCAATCTTTAATGGCTCACAAAGGTTCAAGACAGAGTCAACATTTCCCTGTTCTCATTTCACATTTTTAAGAAGAATCACAAAACTGGACATCAAATACCTGCTAATACATGTTTTTTTACGTTCATTCCGTCAACAATTTGCCAGAAAAAGTTTAAAAAAACGAGAATTTTCGCTAAAAGAGAATGAAACACAAGTAAGTGAAGTTTGACTGTCGATGTATAAAATTCTTCCAAAATATCGTGACGTGTGGTACTCCCATGGCGGTGAAGCTACTAAATAAGCGTACGAGTAAGAATGGAAAGGTATATAACCGATTCACGGCTAATAGACCGATCCCTGCTTTCAATACGATAGATCTGTAAGCAGGCAAAGTCCACGGGGATCACTCTATACCATATTGTAGCAAATATTTTTCAATTCCAAAAGTTAGGGGGTTGGTAAAAGAATGAACCGTAAAGATTCGCAAGGGTATTCGAGAGAAAAAGTTTTATAAATGGTTCTTCTTATTTGTAAAAATAGGAGTTTTTAAAACGTGATACGCTAAAATTGCCATACTATCGTTTGTAGCGATTGATCTGAGAGATCAAATATTAATTTGAACGACCGATAATACTTATAAATTGATATACCATAATTACATGTGCAACAAGTTTAATGTCTCCACATATAGCGATAACCGCTATTTTTGGCTGGTCACATCACAAAAAAAGAGAAACGAGCCACTATTACTAGCTGAAAATAGAATTGTGATTGAGTTAGCATGTATCATTTTGAAGAACGATGAATACATTTCGCAATTATATCTAAATGTTCTTTTTTCACTCATAAAAATTAACGAATTCATCATGATAAAACCAAAAATACGGGTTCCCACAACATTACTTACTACTATGCGGCTACTATGCGCTCCAAATTTAAAGAACTCGATTAGACCTAGACATCGACGCATAATAAGTTAAGTTAAATTTAAGGAATAAGCCTTGTAAACTGCGATGAGACAGAATTTGGAGCCCTTCTTTTTTGGCTCTTGGATATGAAATAATTTTTTTTCTCATGAAAGACATCACTGAACGGTCCTCGAGGGCTCCGACTTCACCTCGAAGACCGCTCAGTAAGCTAATCCAGGCATGGGCAAAGTCGGAACCTCGGGAGCCGCGCTCATAAAACTCTATTAGACCCATTATTCGAAACACAATACCCCAATTGTGTGAGGCCCAGCGTAATCAGAGTGGGGGTGAGCAGCATGCTTGAAGAGGGGCGTAGTGAGAGAGAGAGCACCGCGCGCACTCCTTCAAAATTTCAAAAATCTTATCGCCTAAGCATTCAAACTAATTTTCACTAATTCAACTTAAAAAATCCTTAGTTGTACGAGGGCTACTTAAAAAAAAATCATGGCACAAGAAATTTGAGTATTTCGCAGTCATTTTATTATTGAATCTTATTTTAAATCAAAAAAATATGAGATGTCAATTCATTTGAATTTAATCAATTAATGATTTTGCCTAGTCTTGGCCAGCTTTTTCCATAGCTGCTCAACGGAAACTATTTTCTTCTTTTAGTGTTGGAAGGAAAGAAATTTGAGGAAGGCCAAGGAATGGAGGGAAATTTTGGGAAAATGATAAAATTGCATGCACAACAATATAGAAACCCCATGCCCCGATTTTTAATAAGCCATGATTTATTCATCTATGATCATTCTTCAATTATATTTACTCAGTCACTTTGTGTAAATTATTTAATTATTTTGATTTGTTTTTGTAGTAATTATTCATTAAAAAATAATGAACAAGGCATGGAATGCTCGAATTCAAATGTCTTGTTTCCGTACTTTTTTAACGTAAAAAAATCTTCAAATTTACCTAAGACTATCACGTGCTGACCATTTAATTCCTGAAATTCCAAAAATGTAATTAAATTTTTTAAACTGTGATTAAGGAATCTTCATACAATATTAATAGAAATTAAAATATGTTTTCACCTGTGATTTTCACTTTATTTGTGGCCGAAATATGCAATTTGGAGTGATTTATTGAACGAAAATTGATATTTTTTAGCAATGCAAAATACATTTAAAAAATATTCACATTTGTTTATCGGGAATTCCAATTTTTGCGCGGTGACGGACATAACAATCCCTCCACTCCCTAGCAACCATTCAGTTTTGCCACTTCGACTACCTGCACTGTAACACTTTTCCCCGACTTCGTTCCGGAGGTCGAGGATAGTTGTTACCTTCGCCCGTTCCCGTGCTCGCATCCCAAAGTCCAACCAAGTTAATGTGGGCGCCAGTTAACTTTTTAAGGGCCAAAAGCTAACGAAAACCGTAAGAACCGGAACGAGGGGGAGGAAGGGGGGGTTGCCCTGCCCTACCCGAGATCCGTAAGTCTCCCAAATCCCGAGAAGTATCCTAAATCCGAAAAACAAGAGCACGAAGGGACAGGACGGGTGGGGTTGGAACTCGTCCTCGCGACAACACAAAATCCTAAATCCATGAATCCAAAAACCATAAATTACACCGGCCGGGGGTGACCGTGAAACTACCCGCGAGAGGCTAAAGCCGATGGTGAGGGGAACGGAAGCGGGAAGGCCTGGGGTCGCTCAGGATGCTAGGTCGTGGAGAGAGGGCCGGGGTCCATAGATACACGAGTCCAATAGCCGAACCATGAAATAAAGAGAGTAACGAGACTCGGGACACCGAGAGCATACGGGCGGGAGTCCGAGGCGCGGAGGACGACCTCTAGAACCACCTCGCCGAGAGCGCGACAGAAGATAGCGGAGTGCCGGTAGGCCGAGAGCGGGGGAGAATTAATTCACCCCCTTTTGCACACTATCGAGAGCGTGACGGGCCCACTAGGGTAACCCCAAATACAGAGAGCTTATCCAGGGTGAGGATGGCTCTCACCTAGAAGACACCACCCGATGAGAGTATTGCTCTCACTCAGAGAGTGTTACCAGGGAGAGGATAACCCTCGCCTAGGGAACGACGGAGACCAATGCAAGGCCTTGGGAGCCTCCTAAGGGCTCGGAAGATAGCTGCCAGTGGTCCGCACTGGGAGCCAGCCGAAGCGGCTCTGCCGAGTGAGTGGACAGTGTCAGCAGTAGTACCGATGCACCCCCACTCTCGACTACGGCTGGGTGAGCTGCCGTGTGCCGGGACGTGCTGCCCTCGCCGCAGGGAGGATATCCCTGGCATTAGCCTCTCCTGGAGCGCGCCGAATTCGAGCGTCGCCACTGCCCCCTCGAACAACCCCTTCGAAGGATCAGCCGCTCGAATGCCCACTCCATCTAACATGGAGCGCTCATACGCCAGTATGAGTCCTATGCTGTATGCCAGCAAGTCTCGTAGGGGAGCTGGGAATGTTTCCCCATGTCCGCCCTGTGCTGTTGCCTGTCCTTAGGTCTCCTAACACCCTAAGCACTCGGGCCCCAGTCCCCACACCCCTCGACGATTCGAGTAATTCCCGGGAGAGAGTCGAGATTGCAGAATTTTAGAGAACTTGACCCAAAATTTAGTTTAATGTGCGGGGTTTCCAAAAATCCCGTTACAGCACACCATAACAGGACCCCCTTTTTTTGTAGTAATTGGCCTAATTGTGGTATGGAGGTACGTGAGCACGAACAGCGCACTTTGCCCAGGCCTGAGCTAAGGGATGGAAAATAGTCGTTATCGCACTACAGTAGCCGTCCCTCCAACCAGATGACAAGCTCTACTGCAACCCAGAATTGTGTTGCCCAAGTAGCCGGAAGAACCCAAGGATGACAGCTTTCTCCATCTGCGCAGCTAATATTACAGAATTTTGCCTACCGGCTAGAATGGTCTCAAGCTCAGATACAAAACACTATCACATGCCGCCGAGAGAACCAATAATTAGTACAACTAGCCTGACCCTGAATATTTGAGCCACTGGTCTTCCTCTTTTGCTAACATATTGCTCTTACCCGGGGCCGAGAACTCAATGACATAGATGAGTTTATCTTCAAAGTCGAAGAGGATAATATTAGGCTTTGTCGCAGCGACGGGTATTCTGAAGGGTGATGGCGGTCGAGGATTTTTGAGGGTTGAGGAGAAATTGCATGTATTGGGATTTGGAGGGGTTGAGTTGGAGGCGCCATTGGTTGAACCAAATCTGTACTTCGTCCGCGAGGTCTTGGAGGTTTTTCCTTGTCGATTCCCAGTTTTTGCCGTGCCCAACGAGAGCAGTGTCATCAGCGAATTGCACTATATATTTCGTAGGGTTGTTTATCGAGAAGGGGTTTTCGAGGATGTCGTGACAGTATAGGTTGTATAGGAGAGGGGACAGAGGGGAGCCTTGAGGAACACCTTGCTGGGGTGAAAATTCGTGGGAGAAGCTATTTTT